ACAATCTATGTTTATGAGACCTTGGGGCTGGAGGGTCCATACATTTATGTATTAATATTAGTTCAAAAACGTGGGACAAGCAGAGTTAAGCAGGGTCTCATACCTGCAGTATGGAGCGGAAAAGAGTGGGAACGGTTTACCTTCAGTGTGCATGTCCCATCAGCACCACATATCTGACACAGTGAGTCATAGACAACAAACGTGACGTCACTGCTCCACGTGGTGCCGTCACTGGAGACCGATATCTGGTAGGTAGAAGAGGTCTTCAATCCTAGTCAAAATATTTTCAAAGATCAAAAGAGGGAAAAAATTCTCAAAAACGAAACAAGAAAGACAACAGTTCAATCCACAGTGGTGATTTCTTCAGTCAATTTCTTTAAAGCCCGTGGTAAAACATTTTACGCCTGTGTACATGAAATTTTCCACTGCATCTAATTAGGACATGCCTTGATAAATATATTCAGTTTGTCCGAAGTTGTTAAATGACTAAATAAATAAAAGGGTGAGGTAATATGTATTTCCTTGCCTAAAATACTCATACTCAACTCATATTTAAATTGGAGCAAGGAGTTATAACAGAAGGAGATTACACGCAAGCCTTTCTATTGTCCGATGTCTGTTACGGTGGGCGGAGCTAGCTACGGGGGGCCTCCTGTCTCAAGGTTTCGTCTGCGTCGCTCTCCTCAGCTTTGAGATAAATTTCATATGCGTTATTTCGCGTTAGAATTCGAGATCAGTAATGTCAAAGCGCCGCTGTATGCTGACGATTTTTTTCACAGGTAATTATTTGGACGATGTGCTGGAAGGGAACGATATCATAGAAAGCGATTAAAAGGTGGTGACTGAGGATGGTCGCCATGAGCTTTTTTTAGTCGGTGATAGATGGCTTTTTTATGGCACAACCCGGTGAAAAATCACCAAGGAGAAGTCAAAAGAAAACGTCCCAACTGTGGTTTGTGAAAATGACATTCAAGTGAACGTCTGTCCTCACTGCCAAAGGACATAATATTAATACATT